AACATATCGCATACAGGAACGGCGACGTTCGTAACGGCATTACTGTTGTTGTAGATGAAGCAACATTAGAAAGGAATGCCAGAACGAACGCGATTCCTGTGACGGATTTAGATGACGGAATGGTTGCTTCTAACAATTACAGTCCTGCTAATGACACTCCCGCCAAATCTAAATCATCGCGCCATAATTCCGATCTTGTTAGTCCGAGTAGCTCTTATCTGAGCACTCCACTCCGGGATGTCGACTTGGAACGTAGTGCGTCTTCCAGTTCAAGAAAGTCGTGGAAAGAACAAATGAGGAAGAAACATCTTCCTCCGATATTCGTGAACGAAGCATTTGAAAACGAGACCACGTCTGCCGAACGTGATGGCGTCAATGAATCTCATTATTACGTATCAAGTGACTATCATCCGGATTATCTTGTGAATAGCTTACCACGTAGCGTTCACAGTGTTAAAGCTACCGAAAGCGAAAGTGAAGGAGCCAGTAATCAGTATAATGACGATGATATAAATCATATCCTAGACGTGGAGAAAGAAAGTATTTCTTCTGAACAATGTTTGGTCATGGATATTTCAGATGACAAGAGTGATCTAGCTGAACGTATCGAATTAGAGACCCGAGAGCGTGAAATGAACAAACAAACTGCTACTGATTTAAGCCAGATCTTCCGAGAAGATTCTCGAACTCCGACCCCAAGTAATAAAAGTCCTAGTCCTAGTTCTAGTGCAAGTGATACTATCAGTAATGGAAGTGTGAAATCAGTGACACTGGAACCCTATAAGGAGGAAAGACATCGGCCATGGATGGACATGGAAGAGGAGACAACCTCGTTTCAGTCTCCAGTAAAAACTCTATCAACAGACCGCGATATTGATCGAGGTTTCGAGGAGGCTCTCGCTGCCGGATATACCTCATCCATGGCTGGGTATTCTACGATGGGCTTAGCTTTCGAGTCTATAAAGGAGGAAGCCGAAGAAACCAGTGAACCAAACTCGCCCCAAAACCCACGTTCACCTTTTAAGACTCAGGCCGTGTCGACACGGTCAAGTTCGCCGTCTCAAGCCTCATCTGACAACCCATTTGATAGTGCACCAATTAATTTTCCCACCAAAGATAATGTGAACCATAGCTTTCCCGAACCAGTAAGTCCTCATCTTCCGAACGGCTACGGTGAATCGGTTACGTCATTCCAGGGGAAAACTTTCGGAAAGTCGCAAAATTCCCCACCGTTAACAAACGGTTATGATACTTTTGTTTCAGACTTCCAATCGCCCCAACGTGATGTTATTCAAGGCAAACCATCGCTTGATTCCCAAGTGTCTCTGATATCAGAATCTTCTATGGAAGTGGAAAACATCAACAAAATGGCTTTAAAGAAACAAGGCCGTGTGGATGATACCATTCGGAACGGACTGAATGAAAACACTGCTTATTTTTAGTTTTCTACTTACAGGGTATTTGGTTTTCACATTTTCAGAAAATTCACAAGGTCTAACTTGGTTATTATCATTACCGTTGTGAAATTACTGAGATTTAATTGATAACGTGTAGGAAACATTTTTGCATATATGACACTTTCTGTCGAATTTGATACTGGTTTGCCCAAATAGTTAGGCCTACCAAAAATTGTAATTTGATTATACTCGCCATTTACAATTCACGATCTGAGGAAATTCTTCATCAAATTATGTTCTGATCGAATAGCGTCATACTGCACACAATTGAAAACGTTGTTAAAAGTGGGCACCTCGACATTTCGTTAAATTGGTTGGATATAAAGGAAATTCCTCGGATAAAACGCGAAATGAAACATCCAGATTTTCATATTCACCATATATGCTTCAAATAGTTACATATTTTGGCATAAACATATATTTAACACAGTAGATCTGAATCTACAATAATTTAGATAACATGAATATGGGAAAATGTCAAAACGTTTTATTATTACTTTGGGATGAAGTGTAGACTGATCACCAGAATACAATGCATCACAATGTTATGGGACGTCTAAGAGTTTCCGCGGCCAAGATCATTCTTGTTTGATATTTATTCATTTATTGTTTAATCGTAATATATACCTTGTGCAATTGTTTCGAATCGGGTAAATGTTATTTATTTATACTTTATTATCTTTCCTTAGATACGAAAATATATGAACCCCTTCTCTAATCCAAACTTGTATCAGAACGAAATCCCACTTCTTTCTTAAATAGGGATAACCAGATTTTAATATTAAAATTAATTTGATAGCAACATAATGCCACATTATTCCACTATAACGACCCAATCGTAAATGAAAACGGATAAGACTAGCTCGAATACAATAATATGAAGAGCCTGGGTTATTTCTATAAAACTATATGGTCTCTTTATTTTGCCTCCTGCACCAACCCAAACTGTAAGGAATAATACAACAAATTTACAAATAACAAGTTTTGATTTCAGACAATTGAAAGCTGCTTCCTTAGCTCCTATTCCCGTCCTTAAATAAACCGTAAGATTGACCCCACTTCTTAAATGATACATAACATTTAAAAAAGCTAGCTCGACAAGACTGGCCCTGTCCGGACCGATCCAAGTATTACAGATAGGGCCAGATGCAAAGCATATTAAATTCTTAGTATAAAGCATTTCTATTAGTTTGATATCAGAAAAGACAATTACAAACTGTATGAGTGTTTCCAATGTTTCAGGTGAGGCGCTTTTTCTTTTCATGTATTTTCAAAAATTGCAAAGCAACAGAGGAAAGAAAAACAACTCAATGTAACATGTTGGGTTATAGTTGACATCTAATAAGTCATTAATATTCTTAAATACATAAACTAAAATAAAATTCACCTTTGCCCCACAAATATTTACTTTTTATTTCAAATTATAATATATTTGTTATTATCATATTTATGCAGAAATAAATATTTTTCGTTCAAATCCTCTTTGTCATCAGTGTGAAGTGAAAATAGTTTGACTGTGACATACAATTTCAGCAGTGGAGTGTTAATGCAAAACCTGACGCTACTTCCATTTGATTTGGAAATATAATCAGTCATATTGTATTGGTAGTATTCAATAATTTATTATTAAAAACTTGGGAAATTATACATGAAAAGATTTCTAAAATATATTATTTACTTTTCGATCAACCTTAATTTGTTTTAAAAGAGGTGATTGATAACGGAGCGTACAAATTGTTAATTAAGCTGTTTGATCTAGTTTATGTAAACTTTTTTATACCGTATATTGCCATCACCCATGTCCGTCCTTCAGTCCTTTACAAGACATAATTCTTGACGGATTTTGACGAAACTTGGTGAAATTGTTCATTATCACCAATGGATGAACCCTATCGAAATTAAAAAAATGGAGATATGTTTCATAGGAGTTATTGACCTCGTTCTTGAAAATGCTTTCAAATTTTAGTTCTTAAACAATAGAAGGCACGATTCTTGCAGGATTTCGGCAAAACTTGGTTTTATTATTCTGTACCGCACTGAAGATTGAATATTTGCCTTCTAGAGTTTTCACTAGCTAAAAATTGAACTCCTTTTCAAGAACAAGGGCAATAACTCATACTCAATATTATTCAGTATCGCCCTAAAGAGTTAAAATGAAGTGTATGACTGAAGGTTGAATATTTCATACTGGTGATTGTAACTGTACTGCTAAATATTTTTTATTCAAAACCAAAGCTGCCAGTGGGCGTATATTACCTTGCCTGGCAAGCTATCTTACATACTAAACATTCGCACCTTTAGTTTTAATTGTGAAGCACAAAAATCCAGTTTAAATCGATTTTTATACATGAAAGCTACACACAGTTATTTTCTCTTCTTTTTTTAGGGACCCGCGGTGGCTCAGTGAGTTAGACGCTTGCTCGCTAACCTGAGGGTCCAGGGTTCAATCCCGGCAAACCTTCGGATTTTTCAACCCGGTTTCCCCCTGTCAGTGATGCAGGTACGAGGGGCTTGCATGGAAAACGCGTCTAGTCGTTCGGATGGGACAATAAACCGAGGCCCCGTGTGCTACAGGCTGTGCACGTTAAAGATCCCTCGACAGTTGGAAATCGTAAAAGAGCAGGCTAATGCCGCTGTCCTGGCAAAATTTCCCTCATTGCACCCTGAATGGCGTTGCCCGTCTTCATTAGCCCACATGGTGCAGAAAAGTAGGACGTAAAACTCCATTCATTTCATTTTCTTTTTTTAGGTCATTCGTCACACCCTTATGTCATCTTTACAATGTGTGTCAAGCTTGATATCACAACAGATGAAATATTGAAATATAAAGGCAAATTAAATTATACAAACAGTTATGCTTTAATTTAGATTCATTCTTGTATATAGCCAATATGCCACTTTTAAAGATGATTAAGGATACGTGAAAACACCATGAACACATCCATTTATCATCCATCTTATAGTATATTTAAGAAAAATGAGAGCCACATCACGATCCATGTTGATGTTGGATAATGGTTAATTATTAGATACATGAAAACAATACACACTCTTCGACATTTGCACCTTAGCGTAGGTTTATTTTGTACATATTATATATACCTCATCACATATGGTATACACGATGCGCATTCAATTTTTAGCTCGTGAACACTTAAAGGCTCGATTCTTGTCGGATTGTCACAAAACGTGGTATTATTATTCAGTTTTAACCCAAAATGTGCAGGAGAAGTGTATGACTGAAGGTTGAATATTTTATTCTGTTACTGTACTGCCAAATATTTTTAATATATGATCAAAGCTGCCAGTGGGCGTATATTATCTTGCCTGGCAAGCTATGTTATTAAGTAAGAACACCCTATCGTATGAAACAAATCGTTTTGATCGATCAATCTGACTGCCTCATAAGGAACTTATTTACTTTACTTTACGTTCCTATCCAGTTATTCATGACGGGGTGTGGTTTTGAAGACCATGCATTCGCCGTTTCTAATGGAGGAATATAACATCACGGAGTTTATAACTAAATATCGTTTCATTTGGTTAGGAAAAGCTGTTCATCCTTGTCAAGTTCTTTAAAACCGAAGGTAAAGTATAATTAAACAAAGCAAAATCTAGATAATAGAAGTCTATTAATTTAGACATGATCTTACTGGGGAGAGTCTTATAAAAATCATACAGAAGTGATGAGGTTTTTGAATGACGGTAGGCAGTTGATCGAGATGGAAATTTCAGAATATCCGAAACACCCAATTTGTCAATAATTCTATTCGAGTCTTCAGTTAGTGTTTTGTACCTCAATATATAATTATAATTCACAATGCAGGGTAGACACAGTTCGTGATATGTGGCCCAGTGTGGGTTTAACCGGTCTTTTCTCTCTGGATCTATAATGTACTCAATGAACTCACGGAAGCTCACATCGTGTCCATTCTCCAAAGATTTATTAGTCGGATTTTTTCTGTATTTTTTAATGATTCCCTTTCCATAACGCGTATGAAAATAATAATTTGTACTGCTTCCGGCACCAAGTTTATTTCGATAAGCAGATAATAGGCGTTCGAACGGCTCCCGAACCACCATAAATTTTAAATAATTCTTTAAGCGAAATTGTATTTCTTGAGGTTCTAATTGACTTAGGTAGTGCAAATGTTCACCTAAACCTCTACCTGCTTGAATAGAAGATATTTTGGTGGGATCTGTAGTGTTCATTTTCCCAGATAGAATCAAAAACACTCGTCTCCAATTCGTGCTGGCAACTTTAGGAACTTGACAATACAAGACTTTATACTGGTCGTTATACATAATTGGACCAAAATCCTCTACATTGGCTTTCTGCGTCTGAAGACGATTTTTATATTTTTTACAGATTTTGTCCATGTTTTCAAACGTTTTTCTCCTATCTTCTGTTGTGCTCTAAAATACAGAATAGAATCATAGGTTACAATAGATAAATTATTCAAGTCCTCTTGTTGATAGGAAAACCAATCAGTTTACTATTTCTTAACCCTTGAAAACTTTCTACTACTCCATAATCACGGTAGCCCACCAAGCTAGGCTGACATGAAAGTTTCCATCAGTTGCCTAATGTAATTAAAGCATTTGAGAGATTTAGCATGAAATAATAGGTCAGTGACGTCAGTGCTTTTTAGAAAAGTTACAGTTACATGCGTTTTTATTTAAGCAAATCGTATCGACACAGATCAAAGTGCTCATTTATATATAATCGAAACTCCTACAACGATTTGCCTTAAATACACACATATTTTAGAGATTTGACAAAGCATTTATCTAAAAGCGAGTTGATACGATTTGCTGCAATAAAAACGCCTCTTGCATTAGCCAAATTCCCCTTAAAATATTTACATGTCGTTGCACGTCTGTATTAGTCCATACTGGAACAGAAAATGGAATGCGGTTTGTGGAGGCTATGGTTACTATTTCGATTGTAGGATTTTTGTAACACGTTTCACGGTTAAGCTAACATAAGACACCCACCATAGTAAAGAAACAACAGATCTTTACGATCGCACATACCTTGATTTCTGATAAGAGTCTCTGTGTATTTTTCGGTATTGGTTGTCCACAAATTCAACAGGAATACTTTTCAAATAAAGATATAACTATATTGTATTGTTGTTATTGACAAAACAAGAGGCAAGATTTTTAAGAATTTCAAATGACAAAGAAAAAAGATGGTGAATCACTGCTATCGTGTCGCACTTAGCAAGAGAGGCGGTCTTCTGATCACTGAATTGAAATTTAACAAAGCAGTTAGCGATTTTGTTTAGAAAGAGTTTACATTGGCTATGGTATGTTAACCAAGCTTAATAGAATTAAAATTCATTTCAATGAATTTGTTAAATACGCATTTTTATACTTATATTTATAACTGCTGGAGTAAAGAACTTATTCAATTATTTAATGTCAATATTTGTATTGTTAATGGGAAATGAACTTTGGACATGTTGGGGGCTAATATATGTATCAATATCTAGCACAGTAGATTATGTTTTAAATAACCTCTCTCATTTTCGTCATGTGCGAAGTCTACAATTATCTGCTCTCAGGTACTTATCTAATCACTGTCTCTTGTCCTGTATGTTACTGATTCCAGGCATATTGATGGTAGAGAATAATAATGTTCGAATACAACAAGATCGTAAGATAACAATGATAATAAGAATAATAAGAATTAAGCAAAACACCGTTATGTATGACAACATGAAATTTATTTGGAAACCCGAATCATCGATAATCTTTCTGGAAAAACTCAAACACTAATGGTGCGGGCAGATGAACGGTCTTTTTTTCATATTGTTGTCAGAGTACCTAGCAAAAACTATCATACTTACAATATTTTTGGCATTGGGTCAGACATTCCAGACAGTGGAATTACTTTTTAGATATATCAGACTCGAACTTGAAGTACTTTGTAAAACGATTATTTTTTGTTCAATTTTCGTCAATTTTTTTTGTATTTTTTGAAAAAACTTGCGAAAATACTGCAGTTTCATAAATTCAAAAATTTTGTCGATAACTTTTTGTACTGAATTTTGATCAAAATTCTAACTTCATTTATTTTATGTCGATGTTTACGAAACTTGGTAGATAGGTAGAGAACTACACAAAACAAAAACATTTTCTAAAAAATTGAAATGAACGAAAAGGGCCGGAAATCACAAAAATCAAAGTTTTCTGAAAAAGTAAAAATGTTAAACGAAAAGTAGAAAATTGGTAATTCAACAAAATTTGTACCCTTAATATCTCTATTTTGTACCTTTGTCGTAAATGCAAATTCCTAACAGTTAAGCAGCCATGAAAAATCTTAAAAATTTAGTACAGACTACAATTTTAATCCGGTTGTTCTCAAACTTGTTTTAAAAAAATAAATAAATACCAAGATCCTCTAGAAGCCCTTTTTTGAATTTCGACTTTGTCTTTGCACAATTTCCTATCAAATTTTTTTCTATCTGTCACATTTCAAATTATGATCACCATTTAATTTGATGTTATTGTAATGTACTTGTCATAAACTTTCTAAAAAATAACTTTATTTTTGTTGTCAACCTAACCATTTTCGAAATATTTATTATTGATATTAGGTGATATTGATATTTATAAAACAATATATAACTCAATATAAAAAACAAAATGTACCGAAATTTTTAGAATAAAATTACACTTCAATTAATTAGTCAGATATGAATTTTACAAGAAGAGTTAAGAAGATTGTGTAACAGATCATAGAGTCAAATGGTGTTAATTTCACACCTTTGTTGGTCAGTGTGGAATAACTGACAATCCAGAAATAGACCATTGGGGATATTTTTACAGTCGAAAACGTTTCCAAACATTGGCAGTCTATTCTCTTTTCATGTTTTACGAAATATAAATAACTATTAAGACATGGTAGATACATCTAATAATGATACACTGTAATTCTAGTAATATAAGTACGTATTGTCAATCGGCAGTCGGTTTAATTGTGTAATTGTATATGTATCATGGTCGAGTGACTTTCAATTGCTTCACGATTGTTCGCAGATGGGATAGTTTGTTAGAGACCTACTAACCTAACCTACAGTCTGGCTCATGTACTGAGAACATTCGCTCATGGTTACTTTATCACACAACAGAACTGTTCTCAATTTCATAAGACAGGTTCATAGAAACAATATGAATACATAGAACAGGTTAATAACTATGCAAATTAGGTCATATATCCATGCGCCGTGTAAACAAACGTCTCTTGAAGTTATCAACTCGATTAAAATGGAAGGTTAAAGGCACGATATTGCTTCAAATAACATAACTTTGACTACAAGTTTCAATTTAGTAATCATATGAACGTGTTTACCAAGGTCATTTTTTGTTACGCGCAAGGATATTTTGAAGAAAGGTGTAAAAAAGCTGACCTCATTATGAAGGCCTTATATATGTATAAAGTACAAAGAGTTTAAGGAAAATAGCTTTTATTGATAGTTGTGTGATAATCAGAATCGTTCACTTGTGCTTATGTCAAAAGAACTTTATGAAATTATTTGCCGGATTAAATATTTCACTCGTTTCATAAATTCCATTTGACATAAGCACTCGTTTAAGATCCTCTATATACACAATCAAGCCTGAATTTTTGATGTTAGGGTGTATTAAGACGAGTCTCAATGAAAGCACTGGCCTAGGCCACAGAGCAATAGATAAGTCTATTAATTATGTGGAAATTAGTTAGTCATTAGTATGATTGTAATAATAGCAGTACACAGCATTGTCCATTATCTGCCAGTTGTAATGTATTCAGGGGTTAATGGGTGTATTTCATAGAAATGAGGCGGTAGCCAAATCATAAAATATGTCCATTTTATGGCCAAGTCATGAATTCAAAATTACACGAAACTTATATTTTTAGCTTCTTAAGTTCCTTAAACTTGTTTATACAGTAATGCCAATGTTACATATGGCTAATCATGATTGACTGTTTCAACCCCATATTTTCTCATCTACTTCATTGTAATTACTTATAAACTTGCTGATACCACATAAAAGGAAGAATTCATAAGAATAGACAACTTCATGAGAGTATTGCTATTTTCCCATCATGACTAGTACTTATTCCATACTTTTTCTCTATATCCAGTTGACGTCTTTAAGTTCTTTATTGTATATTTTACTCTGGTAAAACCATCTTTATACTCTCATGGTTTCATTATCATATTGATCTTTTAATTACTTAAGATAGTTAAAATAGTTTTGAATAAACATTTTGGTCCTTACCATACAATTTCTTCAGAAGGCCAAAATACATGGAAGCGTTAAGAAGTGTTCCTTCGATGTCTTAACCCTCCATATATTTTTATCATATATCGTTATATTAAGGACTTAATTAAGGTAAATAGTTTCGTGTATCTGTATTATTCTTTAATTCTATTTTATTTTATAACATTGTAATATAGTATTGTAGCATAGCAGATTAGATTAGTCTTGGTAATTAAATTATTATTATCAAATTAAACAGGACTTTCATTGAAACCCTGTTCCGAGTCCATCGTCTTTTGCCTTCTCGACGATTGTCACGTAACAGAATTGGGGGCTTGTCCGGGAAAGAATCAAAATACAAGTTTAAAAAAAAAAAAAAAAAAAAAAATTTGGTATATCATAATCAAATGAAAACATGTTCCGTTTAATTGTTATATGCTGCTATATGCTTATTGCAATCTATTAGTACAAGATACATGAAACTCAGCTACATTTACTCTAGCTATATATTTTAATGTTTGTTTATAGATAACTTACATTTCCAAGAATTATTACATAGTGAATATATAACAATAACAAAATATTTTCACTGTTAAATAGTGCTCAACATAGACATAAATCTAGTATATATATTATTCAAATATCCTGATTCATTGTTTGAGGTTAATTTTTTTTTATTAGATTATCACTTTGAATTTTTCACATTAATTTGTTTCAAGTATTGTAACTTACTTTCACATTTAAATTTTATTTGTTCTGCAATACATGTATTTGAAGCATTTCGTGGTACATCACAAAAGTGATATCACTGGATAATAGATTTAACCTTCTTTAAGTTAATATAAATTACACTTACTTAAATAGAATTTAAATTCAAAAATGGTTTTTGAATTGGATCAATTTTTAAAATCGATTTCTGTAGATAGTTTATTATCTTTAAAGAAAAATGAACTTGTCGATGTATGCAAACATTTCAAAATTGAGGTTAAAACCAATATGGCTAAGGTTGAATGCGTAGGACATTGGTTGATCATTTGGTTGACGAGGAAATCTTGGAGGAAACAGCGCTAGAACACTTAAGTTCTGATTTTACTTTACTCAAACGCTTGGAACTTGAAACCAAA